TATATATATATATATATATATATATATATATGTTTCATTTTGTATAAAGGTAAAGAGGGTAAAGGCAGAATTAGTGGCATCTCTATTCTGACGTCAAACAGTAAGAGAATGATAAGGCTTTTAATCACTAATGGCATATGAATTCATCACAAAAAAAGGTTTCGTTGTGGAGTAGTTATGACGTTCGCTGTGTATGCGAAAGGTCCCGGGTTCGAGTCCCTGTGAAGATTGATTTATTTTATTCAATCGTGTTCAGATTTCTCTTCTGTTACGTTTCATTAATTGTACTATTTATTCACTGCATTAGCTGGCTTGGTATTTCAACTTGAGGTACTGGAGTCTCTGATACAAAAAATGAGTAGGTTTACAGTATATTAAAAGAGAGACTGCGTAAGCATACGACCGTGACAATTGTTTAGATTTAGATTAATAAAGAACTCGTAAATTAAAAAATTAGTACCTACTTCTATCTCATAAATTGATTCATATTTTGCAGAAGTAATTTGGCTTGACTTCGGCAAACCAAACACAACTTAATTTCAGTATCACGAGTTTACTTACCCGGGATATGGATTGCACAATTCGAGTCTGTCAAATCATTTTAAATTAAACATCATTTATCCATGTGCCTATGGGTTTCCAACTTGCTGATCACCAGCTGCCGTTAAGGACTATTTACGACTAAACAGATAATATAGCAACAAGATAAGGGGCTTCATAACGAGCATGTTGGGGCACAGCAGTAAGAGATTGACTTATGTTTCGAATTTACATTCGGTTCGGTGAAATATTGATTTAGGCTAGTGGGGAATGTTGTTGTTTGTTTGTCTTTATCCTTTCTGGGATAGGAAGGCAAACAACCTCTATTCAACTCCACTCCACTACTCGACTCTTACATACAAGCCAAATACATACATTTCATTACAACCCAGACAATACAAACCTACAAGGACATAAGCATCACGTGTATAAAACATAACTATATAAAGATGGGATATTGATAATAATTATAATAACAATAACAAGCATAATTATTTAGTAATCGTTTAGCACCCACCAGGCAACCAGCTTAATATCACAACAGAAGGACGAGGCAATTTGAGTTAAGTGTCTTTCTCCAAACCTTTGTTGTACCCAGAGGCACAAACCGTTGGCATATTTTGAACCGTTTCTTGAAAAGCATAATTTATTACCGCTGCGCCACCGCGCTCTCTCGCTTGTTGGACGTTTTATATTGAGAATGCCGCGTTCTTCCTAATTAGCAGGTCCAGTGTGAATAAAACAAACAGTAAAAGCACGCAGTACGCTTAGGAAATATTTAGAACCATTTACAGACCAAAAAACCATGTCACAGTCACTTTGTGAACTAGTGTCCGTTGTTTGAATCAACGTGTGTTAGCCTCTTAAGTATTGTACATGTCGTTTTTAGTCCTATGCTTCAGCCACGGCTGCCCAATTATTATTATGACCGAATCATGTCGTATTTGTGTATTAGTGGCCTCCATTAGAAAGATCACGAATCATTATAATACATACCAAAAGCAAAAAGTGATAATGAAAAGTCCTCTTCACTGTTACTTTTGTGTTTGGTATGTATATTATAATGTTTTTCACGA